TAAATACGTCCAAATAGACTGCTGGCAGACACTCCTTTGCTAAAAGATGGAAAAACAATCCATGCCAAGCTCCATTTGAAGCCAGAACAGGTAAACTGCATTTTAATACCTTCCCATGAAACAATCCATTTCCTTACTGGCATTATACTAAACCTGATATCTCAACAGAAATTCTGAACCATGTTAAACATATCATGGATATCAATGAAAAGGGTTCCCATGCTACAGAGATCATACTTACGACTTAGGGTAACTCACTTCACATGTATACAGATGGTTCTGTTGACCCAAATAATAACACTGTGGGATGTGGTTTATACATACCTCAACTTAATTATTCTAAGAACATCAGATTAAACAACGAAGCCTCTATTTTTACAGCGGAACTCTTTGCCATTTTACTGGCCCTTGAATGGATTGAAGATGTTCAGCCTATGCAATCCTGTATATTCACAGATTGTCTACATGCTACACAAGCTATATCTCGGCCTATCCCAAGAAACAAATTAACTTGTGATATTCGGCATACACTTATTAACATTCAAAATCAGGCTAACAAAGTTATTTTTAAATGGATACCAGGACACTGTGGAGTTTGAGGAAATGAACAAGTTGACCAGATTGCTTAAAAGGGTACTAAAAAAACTATTATGACCATAAACTTCCCCTTTCTATAACAGAAGTTAAACATCAACCCAAAAATTGCATCAAGCAACAGTGGCAACGAGAATGGAATAATTCTAAAGCTTTTTTACTTAAAAAAATTTAACCCATTGTTTCCCTTAACATGAACTGGTGGAACCTCTCACGCTGGCAAGAAGTTCAGATTCACAGACTCCGGCTTCATATGTGTAAAATGCTAAATAGCTTCTATAAAACAAATCGGTAAACACGCGAACGGACTTTGTGAAACACGCAACACATACGACAATGCTGAGCATTTTCTCATAAACTGTAACAAATATGTTAGTGCCAGGGGAAAACTTCAAAAATCATTAAAATAAAATCCAGATCAAATGACGCTTAAAAATGTTTTAAACTCAAAATATAATATTCCCCACTTACTGAAATACATCAAGGCTACTAACAGTAACATCTCATATGAACATGCATGCTCATACATACATGTAAATTTATCCATATTTGCCCATGCTTTCTGGTGTGATACATAGGTCAAACGATTGGCTGGACAGAGCGCTACCTATCAACACCTGGAGTATGCAGCCTGCGAACGTACCGGCGGAGCATGGGCTCTTAAATTGCATGGGAGACGGCTGGCTTGCAGGACACTGTAGCATCTCCATGTCTGGAGGATCGTTAATGTCATATCACCCTCATAACATCCTTCACTTCCCAATCACTCTACTGATTGGCTGACATGTTTTTAACATTTCATATGTAGCTCTTCTCATCTACATGTAAGCCTTGTCCAGTTTCTTTTTGCATGTATGCATGTATAATTATCTCTTTTTTATTTGGTTTCCTCCTACATATCCTACAGTACATGCCTCCCTTTACAGAGTCATTTCTCAATTCTTTAGTTTTCAGACTTGTCCTTTCTTTTCTTCTTATCCGTCACTGTTCTCAAAATTCAAGCCTGATGTCTTTACTGTGAGGAAGATTTCTTTGTGACTCAGCTACTGTATTTGAAGTAGGCACAGAGGACACAACAGTGCCAAAGGTACCATTAATCTTACAACAACAACATCTGCATACTATCAAAGGAAATGTGCCAAATTGAAAGACAAAAAAGCAGTCTATAGAGGGAAACTCAGACAATCACAAGAAGAAAAGGTCAGTTTAAATCAAAGGATCTTATAACATGGCGTAGCAGCGCAAGATAGGGAACTTCACCTTGAATACACGTAAGATGCTGTAATCGCATTGGCACCATTTGAGCAAGCGATACACCTGTGCAGTGCACACTAATGCACAGGCGCTGCGGCAGCCACGTGCACCTGTGCCAGTGCATTACTATAAACCGCGCAGGCGTATAGCTTGCTCAAATGGCGCCCATGGTGATTACACCTTTTAGGCAGAGTTATCCATCTTGTGCCTTCGACGCTATACGATCTTTGGTTAAAATATTGGAAACATGAAAAAACTTCTAAAGAAAAAAAAAGGACCTGAGAGATGAAAATGAAAGGTTCAATGTCTTTTTCCACAAGCTTTCCAATGATACCAAAGTGAATACAATCCAAACGGTCAATTTATTATTGCTAGTTTGAGTGATTGCCATGAATATGCAGTACACTATAAAAACTGGCAGAATGAAACTTTGAACATGTATATGTACCAAGAGTCCTTTATTGTACATGTAGGCCTAGGCTTTGTAACGGGATTATGTGCTACAAACAGGTTCAGATGGCAATGACAGGACACGGGTGACAATACGGATTATAAACAAATGCAAACACGAACGATTAGGTTTATTCAGAAACGTGCAATCAGCTCACAGGAGCCATCTTGCCAACAACCGCAAAGCTTTTCCCATAATGCACTTGACCATGAATAATTAAGAATTGAGTGCAAAACTGGACAATTAATTAATGCATGTACATGTATGTACAATTACACCGCTACAGCTTGTACAAGTACATGTATGATGTAGGCCGTAAATCGGTTAATTTCATGAGTTAATGAGCCTGATTTAAGTATCATCAGATTTCTCAATTCATCAGCTTTCAAATGATACCAAGTTTGTTGGGGTCCCTTCAGAAACTAAAGATGACATCGAACTCACTACAGAGGGCAGGGGCCTAGGCTTAACCTTACATTATAAGCCTTATCACAAATACTGCATGGGTGATTTTGCACAATGGTAGAAAGGCACTGTGGGAAGGAAAAAGGGACATGCAATAAGGTTTATGTACCATCACTGAGTATTACTATTAATAGGCCTATTGAGTATCCTATTGAGTAATGTACGGAACTCTTTCCAGTGCCCAGGTCGGGGACCAAACCACAATCAAACACCGTCCCTAGTTTCTGCTTATGTCACTAGTTCAAGGAGCAATGACGTCATTTTCATTGGGTCGCGTGATAATGATGTAATTTACCCCCGCAATTTTGGAAAATAACGAGATTTGAAATGCAGGCAACCAACATGGCCACCGTGGCTGTTACCATTGGAGTCTATGGCAAAATTGTTTCCAATCGCTATTTTGGAAAATCGCCACGGTAAACATAAAATCTGCCACTGTGAATCGATGGAGATAAATAATGGCAACAATTCTGTGCATAAAGTAAACTTCAGCAAAGCTTCATGTTTTTTCATGTAAACTTTTTCATCGGCAGAGTTGGACACGCCTGCCCGCTGAATTTGACACATCCAGTGCAAGATTTGACCCAAAAAATATCTTTGATCCACTTTTATAGATACCAAATGAAAAGAAATTTTCATTTAGATCTTGGGTAGCATGTTTCCTGTAAAGTTGATCGATCAGAGGAATTTGTTTTGAAGATTTTGGCTGATAAAGAAATCGATGTTATCTGCGAACCGTGATCTAAAAATAGTTCAAAAATTATGTCATCGTTTGCACATACGAGCGGCGTATGCATAGTCTGGCGTCGTTGCTTGCTAGTTTGTGGTGTGGTCCCCGACATGGTGCCCAATTTCCGGACATCGCAACAGTGACGGCTAGACAAGCTTTCAAAGAATAAAAATACCTCAGAATTTTCTGGACCAACTTTGCTTTATAAATCAACTATAGTCAGTCTACCTACCTTCTCGGTCGAGGCATTTTCAATTGGTTTCCTTAAATTGCCTCCAACCATGCTCTCAGTTCAGCGCTATCAAAAATTCCGCCACGACATGAACGCTTGTTGCTCCGCGCATGCGAAGTACCGTGATCATTTTCCCAATCAAGTATTTTGCCCTTTCGCGAACCGCGGACTGATGAGGTTACCAGTCTGAAATAGCGCCCTCTCTTTAGTCTTGTTTGGGACAATTTTAGATCTAAGGCGCGGTCTCTTTGTGCCCTCATTTGATAGACCTTGTTGGAACAATGGCTCACAAGAACAATAACCCCAATTAACTCTTCTGAAATTGTGCACGACTATTTTCGCGAATGGGAGACGTCACTGATGAGTCTTGATTCTCAGTGGCATAGCTAGGATTTTACTAGTGGGAGGCACCAGCATCATATGGGGGTACCAGCTTTCAGTAGTGTGCTTTTTTGTTTTTTTCAGTGGAGGGGGCACCGGAAATGGGGGGGGGTGTCCACTCAAAGGGGCAAAATAGCGTTGCAGTCTATGGAGGAAAATCGGAATTATTGACAAAACTCATAACCTTTACATCAAATGTGCCTGAAATTTCACTTTTAATGCGCTATGAATATCTACCACACTGTACAGAAAACGTTTCAGTTATTTTTATCATGTTGCGGCAAAAAAGAGGAAAACATGCAAATCCCTGTGGTTGACCCTTTACCCAGACATGAGCGCAATAAATGGAACACCCTTCGACTGCGAGAATGTATAAAGACAGTGAGCAAGGCAAGCACAATTCTTCGTACTTAAAACCTTTCGTGGTGGTGAGCAGCCAGTGGTCAGTAGCTGGTGGTCAGTAGCCGGTGGTTTAATATAAGTAGCTGCAGTGGTGTATCCATGTCTTTGGGCCCGGGGAATGGATGTTTTCAAAAATGACTATCGATCCAATTCTTGTCATCTGTGAAATCTTCAACCCCATTGCCATAAAGGTTAGAGTACCGTTTCTAGAATGCTGGCGCTGACAAATCCTAAAACTAAATAAGAAGAGACGTCACTTACCGTTCTGAACATTCAGTGTGACAGGTTCTTCACCTACTCTTCGAAAATTGAAAAAAAAAATTCTAGAGAATGGTAGATTCAATTCCAAGCCGGTACCCAAGACGCCAGTGAAAAAAAAATCATGAAAATCGGCGCGACAGAATCAAACAAACGTACCGTACGTGGGCACAGTCTTCCCTGCCCTTTTACGTAGGGTAAGTGAATTGACGACAGGACAGTACCCCCCCCCCTTCATTTCACGGGACAAATAATCAATGCCCAGCGTTCATTTATCGGAACCATCAGTGGTAAATTGTGGTAATGAGTAAGTCCCCCGTCGAAACTGGCTTCAGAACGTGATGACAGGATCATTGGATACCATGAAGCCTAGCCACGCCAACGTGTCATCCCTTTCTAGTCTTTGGCATGACGGGTGGCACTCTCCCCCGCCAAACGATGAGCTCGTCTCTGCTCTCCCCCATCCCCAGGGAGGTCGCGTCTTCACATCGTCGCCAGAGGGATTTATCAGAGATGAATAGTCCGCGCATCGTTTATTGCTCCGCCTCCAACCTGTACGTCTGTGTTTTCGATGGTATATATCGACGGACGTCGGGCGACTTGAGCTGTGTAGGTAGTCTCCCTGTATTAAAAGGGGCACACAACTGGAAAATGGTGTATATTTTTGGTTGCGTGATGATGCTTTGCTTGATCAATGGATGTGATTACCGACCGAACCTTACAGACGACACTGTAGCAGTTGTGCTTGGTAAATCACTCACATGCTGACGAAAACAATTCCATTTCACTATTGCCAACATTTCGTTATTGCCAAACCGAATGGCGCCGTGTGGTAACTTTTCCCCAGTGCTTGTTTGCGTAGTTTCTGCCTGAATATTACTAACTGAATTTCAGTCTAACGATCAAACACAAACAGCTCTAGGGCGTCGGAGAATCCGATAGGACCTCCTAGACAAGGGCCAATCCAGACCTAAATTTCGGGCACCCAAAGTAATTTTTTTTTCACTTTTCTGGGGGGTGGGGCTAATGGGGGGGGGCTTTTTACACGCTTTAGAAGGGAAATGAAATGAAAAACCTCCTAACGTATTGAAAAACTGCCCTGTTGCCCGATCCGGCCAAGCATGGCTATGAAGACCTTCGAAAAATGTGTGGATCTGGAAAAAAGATACAATTTGTGAAAAGCTTTCAATTAACTAGTTCTTAGTTTCCCCTAATCTTATGAAAACGGAAGGCGAACCACAACGTGGAATTTGTTTCAGGGCCGGCGATGGGGCTAAAATATGGTAAAGGACGTGACTCCCTCGTCCATCGCTATGATCTTCCACGACCCATCGACTGTCAAATAGTCGGGACAGTTGCTCTCGATGTGCTTATGGCGGTCCCTTGTCCACTTGTTAGTGGAGCTAATAACAACCTGGGGCAAGCTGGCTGACATAGAAGATTGATCGTGAGAGTGCAATTCAACCTCCTGGGTGAGTTCGTCGGCTGATGTCTTGCGCGCGTAAGTTTTGGCCATCAACTTCTCAACGGAGGAAGCCAGCCCACGAAACGTCCCGTTTTTCAGGCGTGGAGTGCCCCCAAATTTGAATTCTATTACTTTAAAAGGAACCCTTTCCCAACCAGGTGTGTTAATTATTAGTAACGCAATTTACAAAAACGCTTGTTTGATTGAGCAAGTGCGCAATATAAGTATGACCTCGCAAGGTGTAAATACCAAGTTTCGCGGCATTCTGAGGAAGCAAGTCTGCCCTCTACAAACTGTACGTGCTTCAGTCTCTATGAGAAGCAAGCATATAAATCTAGATGTGCGCGACATGGACTTCATTTAAATAAATTTTAAGAACTGTTGCACAATGTTGCCCTGTACTCGATAACTTGAACGAAGTGACTTCCATGTTTTGATCGATTCTTTTATTGTCGTACTCCAGTGAGCAAATTATGTGCCCAGCGTGTATGTTCTTATTTCAACTCAATTTGGGGCGTCCCCCGCCGCCTGTTTTGTGTAAATGCTTGCTTTGCTCTTGATTGCACCGGCTCGTTGAAGAACTAGGTGTATACATTGATATTAAGATCAATGGGAAGTAAAACTATTATTGCACAGGCAGTCTTGTTGTTTTGTAAGGAAACATAGAAATAAGCTAGCAATGACAATAATATTTTTGATAATTTGTTAAACACAAACAGCAACAAGGTCATATGAAGATTCATGAAGCCTACAGCAGTTTTCTTCCCTTGTGCGTTTGCAAGTATCTCGGAGAAATTGACCTCGATAAAAAATAGAAGTGTTGAATCCAACACTTCCACGTGTGCAGTCAGTGACTACACTTTTGGATTGTCTAATCCAGTGTATTTACATTGTTAATTCAGCATTCTTCGAAATCCTCTATTTTTAAAAGGTTATTTCAACAATTAAAGTGTTAATTATTATACTTTCCCTTGACATTGTTGACTTAACATTTAAAACGTTGATTCATCACTTTAAAAAGTGCAGTCACTGACCGCACACACTGAATCGAACTCCAGCTTTCAAATCGTGTCTACCTTTCTTTTCCATACTCGGCGTTGGCCAGGCGTACATAGCATTAGTCTACATATGCAAGGACTCGTGTGGTTCCATGGTTATTGTAACTGAAGTTTAGTTTTCACAATTTGTATACAAGCAAACCTTGCAACACAAACAAAGGGTCACTTTGAAAATTCAACTCCAAACAGCGAGGTCATATTGACCATGGGACGTATCATTCATTGAAACACGCTTCTCACGTTTGCTCAAGTAATCAGTGATTCACTTCACATAAAACAGCCCGAGAGGAAAGACTTTTCACTGGAAAGTGCGACATACTTTCCAGGGCAGAACCAGGTTAATTAACTGATCTCATCCGAGAGGAGGGATCCCAAATTCAAGGTGTTCTCTTGTCTTCACATAAAAATTATTGTTTGTTATGAATTATCATTGCAGTACATTTTGAAGAGAGAATTTCAGTCGGTTACACCCGTGCCTATTTTACGAGCCGTACAATAATCACAGTTGGGAACTGTGCCTTCATTTGTGTTTCCAGTCACGACAGTCTGCACTCAGAACTTAATAATGAAAACCCGCGCAAGGGGTCGAGTCTCCAATATAATTACATCTGATTGAACATGGCGAATTGTAAAAATCAGTGATCATGGCCTAGTTCATGCATAGTAGATACGCTTTCTCCCTCCTTCGAAAGTCGAACTGGCCGACTGATTCAGCTGGTATTCTGTGTACATACACATGTATGGCTAGAGGTCGCTGGTTCCAGATTCGCTTTGGCAGACCATGGTGTTTAATGTGGAATGTGCTACAACCAAATGCGCACTGTGGGGGGGGGGGGAGAGAAAGGACAGGAAAGATACAAAAACGAAAGCAGGAAAGAGGATGCAAAACCACTTATTTCTGTGAAAAAACCTCGGAAGTGACCCCCTCTATCGCTGACGGTTTGTCAGTTAGCAGTTGATGAGTGTTCCCCCCCCCCACTCCTCGAAAAGTTCTGCACCTCTTCCGGCGGCGCCCATGACTCCAGCAAGGATCAAAGAAGACATAAACTGTGATTATAATAAAAAATATCCTGGAAGCTCTGTTCGCACGCTACCCTAGCTTTAAAAGCATGCATACCACCCTCTGCGAGAAACAATTCATCATGAGTTTTTACTTCACAAGTTTTATCTTGAATCAGAACAACGGTAGATTGTTCTCAATGCGAGACGTTTTAGATGATTGGTGGAGGCAAGTGCACTGGTCCTTCACATGCGTTAGTTTGCACACTTGGTGCGCTGAAGAAAGGGCCGGTAGAAACTAAAAACGGACTGGTTTGCAGGGGCGGATCCAGGAATTTTTCCAGGGGGATCAGGCCAGAGATTTTTCCTTAATGTCTCATTTTTTGCGGACAAGCTTAACGATGATGAAACACTATACATGGCATACATTTGAAATGGTGTTGGCGCATTTACTTTAGTTATTTTTTTATCATTATCCCTCATTTTCCCCACTTTTTGTACCCCCCATCCCACCTGATGGGTTGAATTTGCCGCCACCAAAAGTCTCCCATTAATTAAAATGCCTTATGAGGACCAATGTGCATTCAGTTATGTACGATTCAGATAGATTAGACAAGAATCCTGTTTGTCTTTTCGAAACACTAGGACGGAATGCTTTGAAAATAGTGTAACCCCAGCGGCCAGCATATAACCCAATACGGTCACGACCTCTGGTGCTACAAGGGCACTGTGTGCGGACTCTGAGGGGAATACCGTCAGGTCCACCCATAATCCCGACCTCTCTTCCATTTGCAGTCGTGCAGGAACCAGGGTTGTCGATTAGCCTTCGCAGTCTCTGCAGTCGCAAAGGTCCTTTGAGACCCGCCGTGATTTTGTCGATTTCGCACGGATATTCAGGCCGACTGGCGGTGGCTTTATGGATGGAGGGCCACCATAGTATTTTGTTTCGTGCGTTGAACACTTTTGTCCACAGCTCCCCCTCAATCCTTGTACTACTTCAAATACCACACCGATTGATCTGAATTCACTGACACAGGCCAAATACTTAAAATGTGAAGACAAACATGGAGCTGAGGTCCCCTTGGTTTACACAGCCACCTGATCCAATGCACTCTTTCTTGGAGAGGGGTGCACATGGAAAATGGTCGAGTTATTGAAATCCTTCATGGCTATTGCTGATTATAATACGGAATTGAAAAAAAAACCAGAATCAAACCACGGTTTGAAACTGATTATACAATTTTTAGTACTTATGAGTCAGGGCGGGGCGTTCAAAATTCGGTGGGAGGAGCACGGTCCGATCCGTACTCATGTCCATATGGCAGGAAAGCTGGTGAAGCTTTCTTATTGAGCTGTTAAATTAAAAAAAATCAGGTTTTGTTTTCAGACTCTCTGAGTTTGACAATATTGTTTCAGATTGAAAGTGGCAATCTAAGTCTCAGCATTGTGAGTCAGTGCTTAACGTATTTCGCTCAAGTCCCCAACCAGCCACACAGATCGTCTCAAACCGTGACAAATTGCCTCCTAATCCCTTTTAAGAATTCCTCCGTGTCCCATTTATAAGCTTTTATTCCCCCAGCGGCATTGCTTGAATTATCGAAGACAACATTATCCTCGCCGAGGCTGAGCTAAACCAAACTTTACCATTCCTCTAGTTGTTCTGTTTACTTTTTTTGCACTTATTCCGTCCACAGTTTGGAGGCGTTTATCGCCTCTTTCTTACAGAACACTTTCATTTCTAAGGCAAGATTAAATCGAGAGATCAGCTTAAAAGCCTACGCTGCCCTGAAGTAAAAATTTGTTTGCGGGAGTTGAATGCAGGGGTAACATCCCACATCTCTGCTATAACTCACTTGGTGAAAAATCTTACCATTATGATAGTTAATTAGGAGTATTAACTGCAATTTGGCCTTTATCAATAGCTAACTGAAAAACCCAAGTGTTAGGTTTCGTTTTAATATAGGCTTTCCCAATTGTTTTAAAAACAACACCTGTATCACACATATTCCACTGAAAAAGACTTCAATTCCGTATCGAACACCGTTGTATTCAATTTCTAATTTCGATTTCCAAAAAGCCCCAATGGACTTCATTTTTAAGGTGCAGTGTAATTTGACATTTGTAGCATTCTAATTAGCCCTCAAAGTGGTAATTCGTCTTGTGTGGCGATCGGCGTTGTATCCACCAATCCTCTTCCAAGCAACAGGTGTATATCCCAGGCCCATTTCATATTTTAACTGAGGTAATGGGTAAATGTAAAAAACCTGGCTGCTCTTTTCTTGGATGTTTTCGCAAAACACCCTTCGGCCACGTGTGTTCACGTGCCAGGTTACCACTACACGTCAGTGTCAAACTCGCAACTGCCAATATCCCCACTAATGGAACGCCTACAGACACACGGTTGGAAACGGTTGTCACAGTGACGAGTTCAACGAACACACAAAATGCAACATCCAACATCCATGTATTTTTTATTAAGATTCGCCGACCACAAACCCAGTGGAAATCCATAATTGCAACAATGAAAGACGAGGGTTAATGAATAATAAGACATAAGAATTTATTTTTTACATTCGCTTCGCTGGTATAAACACGGCACATCGGAGTCACCCCGAATATTGTGAGCCTGCGAATTCGAACTAGGATGGGTAGATCCCAGACGTCAGAGACTCGGACCGTGTCCGATTTACTTGGCTGCGACTTGAAATTCCGCACAAGTCTGCAGGAAATGATTACAACCACTATCTTATAGCCAGTGGCTTTTTGCATATAGGCGAAAACGTTATTTCCAGGCAGCGATTTTTACAGCAACGCGCTTGGGGGACCCGACTAGAATTAAGGCTATAATTGTAGCTCCAGATGATTTTTCAAAGGTAAGTCTGACATCTCCACAGGGAAAACTTCACGAGGCTTGAAGACTAGTCTCCCCTCGAGACTGGCAATAAAACATTGTCCCGTAGGGAAGTGCATGGCTTATCCTCAGGTTGTTTTGTGATATAGATATTGCTTCCAGGCACAGCAATAACATGCAGACACTGCCCGAGTCTAATTTCGACGTATTCTAAACACCAATGCCGTGATATCACTACATATCAGGGCAACAGGGCACCAACAACTAGGACAACCTTGTTCGCAGGTTCAAACCCCACTAATCACCTCGTGACTTGCTTGCAAGGCGTACAAACATGGTAATTAATTTAAGTTGACATCTCTAATCTACTCGTCTACGGAGTCCTATTGTTATCACCAAAACACAGTACTGCGTAAAACAGCAAGTGGATATGAAGGTATGCAGGTGGGATGTAATCTGGAACAACTTTTAAGGTTTCATTGTTGCGGCGTAACTTAAAAATATACCAATTTTATGACAGTGTTAACAAAACTTAAAATATGTGTATATAGCCTGTTTCACAATAGTTGCACATATGTGGACAGAAAATGAAAAGAGATCAACTCTGATCCGCTTGAAATCCGATGACTTGGATGGACGTTCCCTCTGACGCGCAAAGTTGCCAACTGCCGTCTGCAAAACAGAAAGAAAATAAACTCAGCCAATCAAAACGCTTTTCTTAATTGTTACTTAGATTTTCAGCTAGTGCCTACCTGTTTGGGCATTTGGACAAAACAAGTGCTCCACTGAACCTTACTGTCGACAGCTTTCATCAGTTTGAATTTTGTTCACTGCAATGTGAGAAATCATTCCCAGTCACAGACCTAAAGATCCATGGAGGATTACAACTGTAAGTTGTGTGCAACCATCTGAGACCAACGTGTGCGGAAATAGACCATGCACTGATCATACTTTGTGTTTAGGTCACGAAATTATTACACGAGCGTGCATTATAAGCTCTCCGTGGAAGCCCTAAGGGATCTCACAACTTCAGAGGAGCTAGGTAAGTTTAGACATAAGAAAAATGGCATGAGCGAACAGGCTGTAAGCTAATTGCCAAATTGGAGCGCATTTTTTTCCTCTGTGGTCTAACATTAAGAACCTGTTAGCCCTGGGGTCTTGAATAAGTACTACGTGTTAGTCGTCAGGTCAGGTGAGCGTTTGTGCTCAACACGGCTTTAATATCAAAAGGTCCGAGAGTGTCGAGTTTTGAGAGTAAGGTGTGAGCAGCCGTGATGTGCGAGCCACAGGCAGTTTTGGCACGTGCCAAGTTTTCTGGCAGGTGACTGTTTCACAAGGTTCATCGAGGTCAAAGAGCAGGTGGACTCTTCACGTAGGCCTCGACCACGCAACCAAGGTGCTGTCAAGAAACGGTCGTGTTTAACCACGCTGTACACAAACAAACATGTTTCTTGGTAACAAACAATTTGGCAGGTGTCAATCTAATTGGAAACCAACGAAAACATCAGCAACAACATGCAGTGCGAATTTGGGAAGACACCGTTTCGTTTCAAGCAAAGTTTCTTCTACCTCCTCCTCCGAAGGTTCCAGGCTCCTGCAATTCCGCGGACCTTTCTCTCTCAGTGGTATTATTGCATTATTTTGTATTCATTTTTGTTTCGCTTTCCGTGTCTGTTTTCTGCAGTTTATAGCCTCAAACCCAAGCTGAGCATCTTTTGGTATCGAAGCTGTCAAAACTAGGACGCACATCAATAGTAGCCAAAAAGCCATGTCCAAACAACATTAAACAATACAAGCAAAACAAAAACAAAACAAAACAAAAAACCACATTAATCCGTGTAGACTTCTCTCGTTCTTTGTTACATTCGTCTATTTGTCTACCATTAGCTGGCTGTCAATTTAAAACGCTGAATGAAAATACGGCCTTTCTAGTAAGTGATGTGCATTGTGGGGCAACCATTGTGATACCAACCAAAAAGTGCTACTGGTGAAATATGAGACTGATCGTTACAGAGTGGACAAACCTTATCAACGGTCTAGAAATCGTCTTCGCTCTCCAACAAAGCAGCGATCCTTCTATATCTGTTCAACCTGGTGGAACAAAAGAAACCATGTCAGCTCATCTACTTTCCATTGGCACATGTAAATTAAGATAGATTGTTCTTTTCTTGACGTCCATCTTGTTGTTAGCGGCCAAACTTGGCGGAATGTTGACACTTGATTCCCAACAACATCTGCCTCAATAATGCACTTTTTGCTTCCTCAGTGTTAACATCGGAGGCGTTTTCTGTTGGTACTTTATCAAGTTGACGTATTCAAAATTTAAAGATTGTTATGTTTTTATAACTTTTTTTCTTACATTTTGTGAATAATTCATTTGGCTTCCTACTCGTGGTCATGCAGCCATGATTTTGTTAACCAACAGTTTGGCAATCCTGCACTGCAAAACTGTGACGTTGACAAAATACAATTCTTTCTTCAAAATAGTTCGAATCTTTGGCTTTGGGAACCACATTATACCTCAAATCGACAGGTCAATGTGCTAGTTCCAAATAACTTGAAATTAACGCCCAAATCTTGGATCTGTGGTGGAACCTTCACCTGTCATTCGACGGGAACAGACCCTCAAACAACCTCTTGTCCATGTTGTCCGGGTTGCCATCCACGAACAACATCGATGCTGGCACCATGCGTCGGTCCATGGGCACGCGGTATCGTAGAGTGTCGAGGGGCGCGTCGCGGGTCCGTATCCACAGCGCGTTGCTGGGCCCGGTCTGGCTCTTGGCCGGGAGGCGGGACCGCGAACTCGAGGGAGGGCTGTAGCTGCCAGTGTCCTTGTTCTGCTTGTAGTAGTTGATGGCCTGGGACGTCCAGACGGCGAAGATGAGTAGCAGGCCGGCCGTGGCGAGGAGCTTGTGACAGGTCATGATGTGATGCGGGCTAAAAAAAAAGAGCGAATGAAAAAGAGAAAGTGGACGCACTAGCCTAACTACAGAGATTCGAAGTGACGAGTAGCACACAGCTTGCATTGTATTCCTATCGTATTCTTATAGTATACCTATTTTGCCCTGTAGGGTAACATGGGTTTACTATAAGAATTTCTTTCCATAAAATCCTCACTCCCATGAAAGAAAGGTGGTCGTTCCGTATCCATAGGGTTCGCGCTTTTCAGTCTCTTTTTAAATAGGGGGCGCTAAAGCACATCGAGGGGCTTTTAAAAGTCCTGAAACATCCCTGTTTGTCCATTTCCTTCGTGCCCTGTCATATTTTGACGAGAGCCTGCGTTCGTGCTACTTATTAGTACCCAGCTTTGATGCCTGCCTTTTTAAAATAATTGGGGCGACGTCGTTTCTGCAATTATATGTATATGGCACACAGCAAGCGGTGTTAAGTTTTGTGCAATTGAACAAAAATGAAAAACTAACAAGAATGCGTACTCGGCCTGGGCAATTATGCAATTAAATTCAGCATTCCACAACTTGCACTAATTTTTCTACCAATTTTGAAAAATCAATTTGCATCGTTCAAAAAATGTGGGGCGAGAAAGGAACTTAATTTAATTCGGGCCACACACATTATGCACGTGAATGCACTTCTCCGTAATTAACCACTGCAGACAGGCCAGCAATGCGGCGACATTAAATCGAATCGTGTGATTTTGGCCTGACGTCTTGACTAACGTTAGCTGTAACGATATCTTTCATTTCAGGCCTATAGTTACACCGTTCATAATTGCCGTTTAGAATCATGACTTCTCAAGAAAAGACCGCGTTCATATTCAGCACAAAAGTAAATGTTAGTACTTGACATGAATGATGTCACGAAGCATCTATAGGTGGAATTCGAAGATGAAATGCGTTGTTAAAAGTTTGCGCTTTTGCAACGTCGCGAGTAGTTCGCACCTCGCCTTTGCGGACTACAGTGCAGACCTGCTTTTATGGGAAGCCAACAACATTCACGGACACAAAAAGCGTCAACCAGGACAAGATTAGGCTCAGACTTGCTTAAAAAGTCGAACGTCTGTCGCCTCTTATTCAAATAATGGCCCAAACTTTTAATTTAACACGGCAGGAGTTCGACTTTTGAAGCGGGAATCATTAGTCCGACAATGTGGGCAGTAAGAAGCCAGTACACTGTTTAAAAATCCTCTATTCTAAAATATCTATTTGCCTCAAGCAAAGATTATCCTTGGGGTGAAACGTCAGACTCTCAACTTTTAACTCCACTCACTGAGCATTTTAATTTATATGTGATTAGCTTTCAAATTATTATTTTTTTTTTAAGCAAACAAGAAATCAGTCCTCGTTCATGGCGATGCGGTTTGCCTTTTTCTGTTTTCTTTGGACAAATTATTGTGATTGCTTTCCGTTCTGAATGGTGCCGCTCAAAATATCTCGATTAGATTCGGCTCTGCTTGATCGAGTTCCCGCCTATCCCGGGTAATTGACCTATGTAAGCTCAGTTTTGTGGGAGTAGTAGGCACAGCCTGGCAAATTATTTGATTGACTCATCTTTGCTGGCGCAGTTAAATCCAGCCTCATGGTCTCTTGATTCTCAATTTCTTATAGTTTAATGTCATCTTAGTAATTCAGGCTCAATGTGCCTCGAACTCTGAGGTAGATGACATCATTTTTATGTCTTCTCGAGTTGTCTCTCTTCAGTTTCCGACTATCGACATTTTGGCAGTCAACGGACACCTGCCCCGTGACAAGCTTGGACGGAGTCAAAGATTGCAGCTAAACAGATCATCAAGCGCGGAGCGTTGAGCAGAGAGTAATCGATGAGTCTAGTTTTATTACCCAGACAGGTGTCTTGGCATTGAGAGCGGTGCATTCTTGGAAAGGAAAGTCAGAGATTTCACTCGTCAAATCCTAAATTTGAATATCATGACGAAATCAGCAAAATTCATCACCTAAGAAGCCCGATGGTCTGCATACCGTGAAAAGAATACACTAATTGCTTGTGTTGGGGGTAGAGGGCGGCATGAAATTAACTTAGTTGTCAAAAGAAGTCCTTGAGCCTGACAAAAAAACTTCGTCAACCTCACAAAATAGAACATTATACGGATAACAAGGTTAAAAAAAATCATGTAGCCTAAGTCTTACCACTACGACAGTTTATTTCCCAAAATGTGGCTTAAATAATTAAGAAATGAGATTTTTTTTCTCATTTCTTTCTCCCAATTCTTTCAACTGACTCCTCTAGGTAAACGTACAATGGTGCTCGCAGTTTACAGCGTGCAACACTTTGTTTGAAACTGGTGAAAACAGGCAGTTTTCAACTCGTAGTCGACTGCACATGGCTAAAGGTGAAGAATCTGAGAGCTAGTGAATAGACGTCAAAAGAAAAAAAACACAGATATCTGAAACTTATCAACAAGATGGCATATATACATTTGAAAGATGGATTTGCGCCGGGGAGATGTAGAATAGAAAGGAAAAAAGATGGCATAAAATCTGTGGAGAGCATTACAACTCTGACCTCGCTTGACTTCGGACATTATTTGCTTATTTGCTGAGGTTGGCTGCGGAAATGCAGGATTGTCCTATACATAGTAAAACTGTAGGGATATTTTCCAATTGGCTTGAACAACCAATGGCCTAAAGAATGTTTTGATTGGGGTCAAAAAACGAAGTTGCCACCACCGACAGACCCAGTATTAAGAAAGGCCCCTGGACTGTGATTTGTCCAAATGTGCTTATTTGTCGGGTTTGACTGTAAAAACACGAATGGGATCCAGTCTACAGAGAAAATCCAAACAGTATAAACAAAAAATGCCTGGAAGGCACCTGAAGAAATATTATGTACTTTTGATTTGTGTTTATAAAGCTTGGGGACCTCAGTGATTTCCCACAAAATTTTACTGTGAAATAAAAATCGTCCTCGCCGTGGCAGAGGAAAAGTCAAACAATGATGTTCACGGCCTTAATGTTTGCTGAATAAACACTGGATGGTAGCAGGCAAAGCAAATCTTTGCATTCTCCGCCTATGGTGATTTATAACGATATTTGTTATACCCCTGAGATGTGGGTAATTTAATGGGACGAGGTTTGTCAGACTAGAACTTTTAGAACTGTTTTATAATCTTGCATATTGTGATTTTCATTGTGTAAATCTAATGGGCAAAGAGGAGACTTTTGGGGTCATGGAGATTGAATTTATGTTCGAGTTCCAGAGGCCTGTTCTTGACACAGGTCTGTTCGCACTCGAACGGCAGGAACACGACCCAAGAACACTGAGTTTCGGAACAGGATCACACACCACCTCCTCGTCAGGGTTTTACAGGAACACACGGAAAAACTCGTGAGATTTTGATTTTTGAACAGCCGCAAAATATAGCAAGATGGCTTAGGCCCTACAAAGCCAATGGGAACTTTCGCAAAATGAACATGACACAGAAATGAATGTTCCTTTTTAAATAGAAAAGAATTCAGTCCGGTTATCCAAACATTAATCCTCGAAGAACGCACATGGACGCCATCATGTTACTTACCAGCGATAACCGGTTGTACATTCCCAGCGTTGGAGAGGCCGACCCACGAACAACAAATCAGCCTATTTGTCCAACGGAACCAGTAGTCGCTGGGCAAAGGCTCAATCTCCAGTGTGTATCCGGTTCGTAAGTGACTTCGTCATACGCGAACGCATTGGAAGATCGCTGAAGTTTTGCGTTAACTTCCGGTTCCAGGGTTCCACGTCAACGGCAATCAAGGCACGTAAATCTATATGCTGTGCATGTGAAGTGGGCGTGGTTTAAACTGAAGTGACGTCACACTTACGAACTGCACATAGAGTTACGTGCATTGGTCGCCCTTTACATCGAACCATGGAACCGGAAGTTAGCGCGCAACCTCAGCGATCGTCCAATGGGAGCCTGCAAATCGAGGCGAGTCCGCCTTTGTGACGAAGTCACTTACAAACTGGATAGCGTACCGAAGTGCGAGAACCAGCGAGTGAACCAACGCACGCTCCATTCATTTGCATGAGACTTTCTGGTTCACAGTGACGTAACACTTTGGTACTCGATGGGCCTGTTAGTTTCACATGGGAAAAGTTCGACCAAGGACTATAGATAATCATAGTTGGACTAACTCTGATCGAACGCACGCTAGTCGACGGTGGTTGGACTAGTCTAATCAACTATTTGAGACTAGCCTACTGGGGTTGGTGGCGTCGTCGGTTGCCATAATCCATATTTAATAGGAGAGTGTAGAGCGAACCAGTTAAAAGAAAAATGCGGAAAAAACAGTATGTCATGGTCATCAGTAAATGATCATTTTCACTTTAAGTTTAATTTGCTATTTTGCCCTTCCTGCGGGCTACATTTTCTCCCATTCGGCCAAATGACCTAACAACGGTTGACTAGGGTCGTTCAGTCTTCCCTTTCACTGCACATGCATAGGGTACGTCACGAACCAACCGTTAGTTAACTAGTGGCCCTTGATCGAACTTGGTCACCGATGTGATCCATCTTTGGTTCACCGGTACCGGAAACCTCCTTATGGATTGAGCAAACCAGCGTTGGGATCCAGATCCGTATAAAACAAACACAAAAGCCATTTTATTTTAAATGCAAGAGTTACACTTGATAATCATGTTATTGCAGCAAAATATCTTGCTTATGGACTTGTGCACCACGTTAGCTTTACCGGCTGAGTAGGGCCTATACTCTTCGAATCAGCCTGGGTCTGTACTCAGGAAAAAAAATCCTACAAGCTTTGGTGGTACTGGGCTTAGTTTTTCAACCCACTCCGCCGCCTGGCATTTTAAACACGCCAGCATTTCCTGGAAACAGCCCGCGTGGTCCGCGGTAATGCATTCGCGCGTTTACACCTACCAAGACCACCCAGTTAACGATCATCAATGAAGATGACGTATTAAATGAAGGAGCGTCAAATTACAAGGTCTATAGATACCGTAGTCGGAAGTTATCTGACAAC